AAGGTGTCTAACTTAAGCCCTGTGACAAAGATATATTGGGCACAATGGGACCAGTTGAAGATTGAAAATGGTATTCTTGTCCAGCAGAAGGGAAAGTGACGACCTGGCAAACGGTTATACCGAGAAAGTTACGGGAAGTTGTGCTGCGTCAATCCCATGATACTTTAAAAGGAGGACATCTCGGAGTTAAGAAAACATTGAGTCACCTACGACAGAGAATTTACTGGATAGGTATGAGGCAAGATGTGGAAGAATGGTGCAGGGCATGTAGTACATGTTTTGCTAAAAGGGGACCCAAGCATAAGGGACGTGCTCCAATGAAGTTATATCAAGTTGGCGCACCAATGGAAAGAGTAGCCATTGACACTGCTGATCCTTTGCCCCTTTGGAAACAGGTACATTTGTGTGGTGATGGATTATTTCACCAAGTGGCCTGTGGCATATGCAATAATAAATCAGGAAGCTACAACAGTAGCTTCAGCTATTAGTGATTTCTTCTTCAGGTTTGGTATGCCATACGAACTGCATTCAGCTCAAGGCCGTAACTTTGAATCAGTTGTGTTCCATGAATGCTGCAAGTTGTTTGGCATACAAAAGACCAGGACAATTCCACTTCACCCACAGTCTGATGAGATGGTAGAAAAATACAATTGGACACTGGGACAGGAATTGACAAAGTTTTGTAATAGCTGCCAAGATGACTGGAATGTCTTACTCTCTCCCCTGTTGATGGCCTATAGAACAGCAGAGCATGAAGCCACTGGATACTCTCCAGCAAAGTTAATGTTTGGTCGGGAACCTCAGTTGCCAGTGGATCTGATAACAGGACACCCACCTTACGAAGAGTTGCCTGAAAATGTGTCACAGTTCGTGAAAGTGTTATCGGAAAAGATGGATGATATTCATCATTAATTGCATTCAAACTTGAAAATGTCTGCTTATTCCATGAAGCTATGTTATGATAAGAGATCTACTGAAGTCAGCTTTTGTACCAGGAGACAT